GTTTTGTCAGGACATGAACCCGCATAGCAAGCAGTTTATTACTCGCTTAAATATCCATCCTTAGAAATTAGCATATGCTGTGCTTCACTGTGTCAGTACTGTGGCAGAAACCAATTTAGATACATATTTGATACATTTTCTCCTTGTACATTTTTCATTTAGATGACCGAGCAACGGAAGAGACGGCAGCGGATGGGATTTGTAGATGTACAGGCGAATGCGGGACATGCAGCAGCAAGCAATCAGATAGTAGCCAGCCAGTCTTAGTTCGCTTATGCACTGGAAATTAATTCTGCACTGTAAAACGAATGTTGTGGACTACTTTTGAACACGTTGCCAATGATATAGTGGTGAAAATGCTGCTTTTTACATACAAGAAAGGATGTTCAATGTAAAGTACACCCACTGTTTACAATGGCAGCAATTCACTGCACAATTAGAATATATGCATTCATACACACACACACAAACACTAAAATAAATACTGAAATCATATTATGTCTTTGTTATGCCATGTCATTCATTTTTGTATGTTTCTAAAAAGAATATATGCCCTACTTGCTTCTTGGAGCTCCAGGAATTAAAACCCTTTTAAAAAATGTTGCTTTATAAGGGTTTAAGTCCAATGAGGTGCACATCACCTTACAGACGTTTCTTTCTGTTTTCTGTTCACTGAGCACAGGAGTATGGTTTTATCTATACTCCCAGTACTCTGACAGGAGAGATGCATTCTTCTACGTAGCAGTCATCCCAAAATGCAAGTCCCTGCTGTGTATTCACAGAATACTTTGTATTCTAAGAATGTTTTCACAGAATACAAAACCTTCTGTCATTGGGTAAGAGAAGAGGTGGGGGGGGAGCAAAGTGCTGCAAACTACACTGCAGCTACAAAAACAGAGACCCAAAAAGGTCCAGTTCCAGAAGTATAGTGATAGCTGTACTCCCAGCTCTCAGTAAAAATGTAAATAAAACAGATCCGTCCCCAAGGTGGTATACACCTCATTGGGACTTAACCACCAATAAGCCAGCACAGTTTTTAAAAGTGCTGCAATTCCTAGAGCTCATCTTTAACATGTCATGCACTGCCCTCATTTTAAGTGTCAACTTCATTGCAGCTTATCTTATGGCTGCTGCATTGCCATTCTCCATGAGCATGCTCCCCATACTGCCTGTTAGTAAGCCATTGACTTCACTCATTTCACCTTTTGAAGCTGCCCCATGTGACTCAGCTCAGCACTTGTGAGACAGCTTTACCTGCTTGAGTATCATTAGCTGCCTCTCTGCCCCACATGATGACTGGGGTTGTCCATCAGAACAAACTCTTCCTTCACCATTCAAAATTATTATTTCATTCTTTTTTTTTTTTTTTTTACCACTTGTTACTTTTGATAATCTAATCTTGATGATCATCAAAAGTAGAATACTTGTTTTTTTTCTTCTTTTTATAGGGTAAGTCGGAGGGTTACTGCTTGCTCCACCCACAGACTACACAGTGTAGTGTGGAGCAAGTTAATAACTGTCACATGACACACACACAATATATATATATATATATAAACACACAGAGATTAAAAGGTATTTGGAATGTTTTTTTTTTTTTTCTTTAACTAGTTCTAAATCACATTTGCTTATACTGCTGAATTAAGTTATCGTACATTGAATGGGGGGGCAGTGGGTTTAGTGTTACTTTAACTCTTTCGCTGCCAGAGCAGTTTTGCATTTTTGTGCACACATGGTTAAAAAAAAAATCATTTTATGGCCGAAGATTACACAAAACATATAATTTCTGAAAGAAGACATCATAGAGAAAAAAATAGTTGTAGTTTAAATTTTTTAAGTCACATGATATTAACCCAAAGGTCTAGGAAGTGCAAAATTTCAGTTAAAAAAAAAACCAAAACACACAAAAGTGAATTTTAGGGAAAATAAATTACCCACAATTTTTGTAAAATTTAAAAGATGAGTTTGCACAGATTGTGTATAATCCCCCCCCCCCCCCCCCCCCCCCCCCCTGTCAGGTCCATACAAGGTGCTAACCAGGAGGCGAAAGGGTTAAAGTGACACTAAACTCTAATTTAAGAAAAAACTGAATAAAGTATTTATTCTTACTACTTATCTTAAAGTGGAAATAAAATCCCTATCTTAAAGTGGTTGTAAAGGCTCAAGGTTTTTAACCTTCATGCATTCATAGGCGGTTTTCAGGCCATGCATTTGAAATCACACCAAAAGTTGTGCATGCACTACTTTTAAAAATGCACTGCGGTACCATGTGATCCGGAGCAGGCAAAATGCACTGCATTAGAAATCCAGTGTTTTGAACGTGGTTTGGGAAATGTGCACTGAATGTGGGTTTCCTGCATTACGTTCTGGTGTGGAAAGGCAAAAATCTGTAAAATGTTTAATCAAAAAGTGACCATACACAAGGAATCTAAAAAAAAAAAAAAGTTTGATAGTTTTTTTTTCCACCGTGTTCTTTGTACATTAATATTTTATTACATCTATTTTAAATAAAGAACACAAAAAAAATATACTACACCACCATTCAGTATACAAGTATGTTGTGTTCATATCTACAATGTGCAACACTGTTGGTATACTGTTGGCAACCACTACCTCAAAAACCAAATTGGGCCAACTGGTTGGAGACAGAATTTTCAAATACATTTTGGAGTGATTTAAATTAGAACTTCACCAAAAAGGGTGTCCTCCTCCCTCTCAGCCGCCCCCCCCCCCCCCCCCCCCCATAGTTATACCTGCAAAAGGGGCCAGTCTGAAGTTATCTAGCAGGACTTCATGTTAACTCTAACCTGAGGACCTGTAAAAATGTTTACCCAAAATTCTACAGATGTGATGTTTTAAAAACTTGGGTACATTATTGGAGTCGCACTTCAAGTCCGGGTAGCAGTCGTGCATCTTGTGTGCAAAATATGCAAAAATGCATGTCACAAAAAGCACTTATCTGCTAAAATTTGGTACATGAGCTTTTTTTGCGCAGAGGGAGGCCCATTACAATGAATGGTGCTGTTCTAAAAACACAATGTGGGAGCATCGCTCAGATGAACAGGGCCTAAATCTCCCTCAACTTTCTGTTAGGCAACTTGGTCTTCAGGACAAAGAGGCAAATCTCCCCAGTGGTTAAACAGTAATAGAATCTTGACAGAGGGTCTAACCATTTGGAAGAGGAGGGGAGACCATGTTATAAACCTGTCTTTCCAATCCCTTCTCCTTCATTCACAGAATGCCTTGTATTGTGTGGAAAAAATACAAGGCTTTTTGTAAAGGGGCAAATATGACTGGAGCCCTTCGCTGCTGCTGCTGCTTTCATCCCTGCATTACCCAGAGATACAGGGCTCTGTATAGGAGCTGGCTTGTGACAGGGTGTGAATTTTACACTAAGCAGTAGTAATCCACACATAGATTATATATTATGAGGGCTAACTTACTTAGGTAGGGCAGTTTTCAGCCTTAAGTGATGGAACTCTAATAGGCTACACAGAATCAAATGACTGCATGCAGTTGCAGTACTAGGTTTTCACAAACAATCCTTACTATGGGGGCGGATTTACTATAACTGGGAGAGTGCAAAATCTGGTGCAGCGGCGCATGATAGCCAATCAGCTTCTAGCTTCAGCTTGTTCAATTAAGCTTTGACAATAAAACCTGGAATCTCATTGGTTTCCATGAAGAGCTGCACAAGATTTTGCACTCTTCGGTAATATAACCCCCTTAGTCATCTGTTTCTATGTAGCAAGTGTACAATCCAAGGGCACACATTCCTGTGTTAAAAATGGCTGTGTGTATAAGTGGGTGCTGCAGCAACCGTTGACTGGAACCAAAACAGAATCAGCAAGGGAAATTGTCACCAGCACACCGAGGATGTCACATGCCTGATGAAGGGGTCCTGCGAGCCTCCAAAACGTTGCTGTAACTATGTGATCGTTCATTAAAACTTTTGTACCCATATTGGTGATCCTCAGTGTGCTGGTGCCATTCTCCCTTGCTGATTCTATGTAGCTCACACCATAGGAATAGATTTGATACCTTAGCAATTTAATGCTTCTCTTCAATGATTAATCGTTGCATACTTTGGTTGTGCTGGTAAAATTGCCCCTTGCAGCTGATGGTGACTATACACCTTGCAATTTTGTTGCTTCCAACCATAAATAGTCCTTGCTTTCTTACAGCCAAATCAGGGGTAGAAATGCCTTCTTGAGTGGTAATGAGGTGGATGTGACTGATATACACCCCATGTTCAATCATATAAATGGATGTTTATAGCAGATTGAAAAATCCAACAAATTCTGGCCACAAGCACGGTCATTTTCATGTGACTTAAATTAGATTCCCTAAGAGCAACAAATTATCAATGCAATCTACACTGTACCTACTGAAGCTGTAAAATAATAACTATTGGGGGTATATTGCTCATATCTGTTTGTTTTTTGCATTTGAAAGTGCTGTGTTTGGTTAGCAGAACTCTAGGGGCTTGAGGTGCAGACCCATTACCTTTAATAGGTCGTGATTGGCAATGTAAAAACCACAACTCAGTCAAGAGCTTTTACTGACCCTTAGCCGCAAGTCTCAACACTTCTGATCACTAGATGTTATTCAGAAGGTAATAGGAAGACATTTCGATGTTCTGCTAAAAAAAACAGTTTCTTCATTTTCAGCTGCTACAATATTAGCACAGTAAAAGTAGCAAACATCAAGTGCACACAACCTGATATTATGTATGTTTCCAGGAATTTTACCCTGGTCAGAATTACTAAAACAATATAACTTCTTGTAAGAGAAGAGATAAATAAAACAAATTTGAATATAGAAAATCTGAAAAGTTCAATCCACATATTTCACCTGGCAATAGTTCAGACATTTCCATGGGGTAAAGAAAACACAAGGAATGGGAAGGAAAAGGCCTGTTTATTAGGAGAGCCTGTATATAGCAGATGGGGATTGTTCAGGAAGGGAGTGCACATGGATTGTTCCATTAACAATAAGAGTTACTCCTTTGCTCCATCCTGAGGGGATTTAACATTAAACTTGTCTATAAGTCTCTTCCACATTCCTCTTTTCATTTCATCCATCTGTTGCAGACTGTCTGTGGCAAAAAGAACAAATTTTATTTGCTGGATAAAACACTATCAGTAATATGAGTTTATGGCTTATAAATAACACAAGACACCACAAAAATATAAAATGTTTACATGAACATAAAATATATTTGCAATAAAATAAATATTTCCTGCAAATCTAAAGCTGATGTATTATAGAAAAACATCTAACTGTAAATAAAAATCTATAATGGCAAAATTTCTGCTTCTCCAAGTCTGCTACTCACAATGGCAAGTGGTCAAAGTAATGTACAGAAACAAATATTATTATACAGAATTTATATTTCGCCAACAGTTTATACAGAGCTTTACAAAATGAAGGTAGACATTACAGTTACAATACAATTTGGTACAAGAGGAAACAGAGGGCCCTGCTTACAATCTAGAAGATACAGCAGCAGATTTAATATGAATAAATGGCTTACCACTTGCAAGTACCATTCTGTATTCCTCAGCAGTGATTTCTGTAAAACTTGTATCCTGAAGTCGTGGAAACTTGAGGGAAAAAAAAAATGGAACAGGTTTTTAAAATGCTATGTGCTGCTTTGAACACGCCATCTAAGCAATCCATTACAATGTGCTTGTGCTCCCCCTGCTGGATATAGTGATAATCATCTGAGTGAGAAGGGGATGGTAAAGCCACACAAGGGAAATTGCATCATTATCTGAGTGTAAGGGCCAAATCATCCAGGATCTCCAGGTCCATTAAAAAAAAAATAAAAACATGCACACATACAGGTTGATTTGCTACAACTGAAGATCTGGTGCAGCTGTGCATGGCAGACCATCAGCTTCCAATTTCTGCTTGTTCACTAAGATTTCACAAAAAATCTTGGAAACTGATTGGTTTCTTGCACAGATTTTGCACTCTCCAGTTTTAGTAAATCAACCTAAAGATATAGATAACCTTAGTTATCTATAAAATTTTGAAGAATCAAGAGACATGGTACATACAGATGATTTTAAAATGACAAAAAAAGTTCTGAGTATCTGCATTAGCCCACTCCCCTACAAACACAGATGTACTGGAATTTAGGTTTTTTTTTTTGTTCATTTATTGCACATCATTCATAAGGGCAAATTATTAGGAATTCGCTTCACTTAGTACTGTTAGTGTAATATTTAGTTGAAATAAAAGGCTAAACTTCGATTTGAATAGAGTGGTAGGTTGGTTAGAATCGCTGTCTGTACCCATTAGGGAGATCCACTCTCTAATTGTCCTGATTAAGGCTCCATGCACAGGAATGTTTTTTATAAGCTCAAAAATGCTGGTAAAAAAAGATGCATAAAATGCTGGTAATAGCGGTTTAGTAGCGTTCAAAAGCGTTTGCAGTTTATTTGCATTTTTACAGTACATGTAGAGGAAAAAAAATTAAAAAGCTAGAAAAAAAAAGCGGTTAGGAGCAGGGGCGGACTGACCATTTGAGCACTCGGGCACTGCCCAAGGGCCCGGGGTCAGTAGGGGGCCCCATGAGATGCCCCTGGTACCTTTCATTGACTTTTTTGGGTGTGGGCGAGGACACAGGGGCCCCATGATCCCCTATTGCCCGGGGGCCCCATGAGTTGTCAGTCCGCCCCTGGTTAGGAGCATTTTAGCAGCGATTAGGAGCATTTGAGTTTTTTTCCTCCTGGAAAAACACTCCAAAAAACTCTACAGAAACTATTTTTCTTCTATTCCTAGATGCTGAAGTTCAAAAAATGCTAATAGCCTAAAGTACGATTACAGTTTTTCATCAGATTTGCATCAGTTTTTTACATCCACGTAACCACTTCCCAGAGCCAGTTTTTTAGGCCTGAAGACTACTTTCAGAAAATATATACTTTTGGGGGGGGTTTAAGTAGTCACCCTAGAGAATAAAATTTGTGATAGTTCCAATTTTTTATGTCACTTGATCTTAGCGTAATGGTTTAAACAATGCAAAAATTTCAGTTAAAGGAAAAAAAAAAAATTACACAAAAAGTAATTTTAGGGCACACAAACAATAATTTACCAATTGTTCGGTAAAATATAGAAGATTATGTTGCACCAAGTAAATAGATAGCCAACATGTCAAGCATTAAAATTGCGTTCACCCGTGAAACAGTGCAAAAATGTCAATACCATATATTTCCATAGGTGATGCTTGAAAAGCCCCTACAGGACATTAGTTTAGCGTTACCCATAAGCTCTGGTGCTGAAATGATTGATCTCACTCTGGGATGCACAGTAATATGTAACAATTGACGCTTTTTGCATAGGCACCCCAACGATTGCATTTTTTATATTTCAATGGTTTTTATTAATTTTAAACAGTATAAAACAGAGGCAACAAAACACGCCCACGCAGGGGCTATCAATTGCACTGATAAAAAAGGCAAAATAGAGTAGACAACACTCTAATTCCAGTAAAGCAAAACGTATGCCCACGCAGGGGCTATCAATCGCACATAGGTTACAATAATATCAGTGAGACTCTGACTATCGCAACTAAAGACAGCTGTCCACTGTCACATCAAAACAAACAGAAAAGGAGAGAAGAAGAGCAGAGAAGAAAGGAGAGAAAGAGAAAAAAAAAAAAAAAAAAAACACCAAAGAGCAGGGGTCCACAAGCGCCAATATCAAACTCCATTACCTCCCCACACTGGCCGGGGGGAGCGTGGGAAAGGCGTATTGCAACCACGGTTCCCATATTTTCAAAAATTTATGTTGAGAGTCGTTGCATATACTCGACATCTGTTCGTTGAGCATCATAGTAGTCATACGATCACGCACCCCTGGAAAAGTACAAACGGACTCTTCCAGGCCTGAGCAATTGTCCTAGTGGCCGATAAAAACAAATAGGAAGCCAACCGCTGCTGACGAGCCAAGAGGCCCGGTATGGGGCAATGAAGCAAAGCATACCGAGCGTCCCGGCGTATGGAGAGATGGAACAAAGTGAAGAGGAGGCCAAACACACGAGACCAAAAACGAACCAACCTGGGGCATGACCACCAGATATGCAGTACATCGCCACGATGGCCACAGCCCCGAAAACATCGATCACTACAGGCTGGGTTAGCCTGGGCCAGACGAGCTGGAACCCAGTACCAACGGAACAATACCTTGTAGGCTGCTTCCAGCGCGGTCGTATCAAATGAACATTTAGCTATGAGGGACCAGGCCTTACTCCAGTCCTCCGGATCCACAGTCACTCCCAGGTCGCGTTCCCACTGAACAACATATGAAAGAGAAGTGTGAGACGAGTGTCTGTTCAAAGCTGCGTAAAGAAGGGAGATAAGGCCTGGGGCGCCCGGGCGCTGCTGGCAAAGCCGTTCAAAGGCAGATTTCTGATATGGGAAAGCAGAAGTGGCCCTCAGCGAAAGCAACCAGTGCCGCAATTGAAGGTACCGAAAAAATTCCGCTGGGGGAACATCCCGAGACTCTCGAAGGACATTCCAGGTGGGAAAGGACCGAAAAGTCAAAAAGTGCTGCACCTGTGAGAAACCATGAGCCACCCACCAAGAAAATGCCCTCGGGTGATCTAGACCCGGCGGGAAAAGAGGGTTGTTAACGATTGGAAGCAAAGGCAAAAAGGGTGACATCAGGCCACTGGAATAACGTACCGAGTCCCAGACTTGTAGGCCATGGAGCAACATCGGACTCAGTGCCATAGGGCGCAGGGCAGGGGGAAGCCATAGGAGTGTCGACAGTGCGATAGGGGGCACAATTAGGTAGTTCCAGCAGGACCCAGAGAGGAACATCGGAGGAAGCGTGCAACATAGCCAGCGGGGCAATCTGGCTCGCCTGATAATACTTAGTTACATTGGGTACCCCAAGACCACCCTGGAGTCTATGAGCAAAGAGCGTATTTCTAGAGACTCTGGGGTGTTTATTGGCCCAGATAAAACGCATAAACTTCGCCTGAAGCAACCGAAGAAAATGAGGGGGAACCCGCACCGGGAGAGTGCGAAAATAGTATAACAATTTCGGCAAGATGGTCATTTTCACTGAATGAACCCGTCCTATCCAAGACAGGTGCGGAAATTGCCAAGAATGCATAAGAGAAGATAAAGAGCTAAGCAAAGGATAATAATTTGCAGCAAAAAGGGAGTCATAGGTGGGGGTCAAGCGAATGCCCAAGTATTCAAGAGAAGAGGAAGCCCACCGGTAAGGGAAGTGGGATTGTAAGCGCGAAACCACATCTGAAGGCAGAGTAATATTGAGAGCGACGGTTTTATCCAAGTTGATACGTAGACCCGAAATCAAGGAGAAGCGCTCAAGAACCCGTTGCAAGTTAGGAAGCGTCGTCAGAGGATTAGTAAGGGTCAAGAGGGCATCGTCCGCAAAGAGGCTCAGCTTAAACTCCTGTCCCGCGTATGGAACCCCCGATATATTGCAATTGGTCCGGAGCGCTGAAGCCAGTGGCTCAAGCGCCAGGACAAAGAGCGCCGGGGACAGCGGGCAACCCTGCCTCGTCCCTCGCCCAACAGGAAAGGGATCCGAGAAATATCCAGCGTATTTAACGGAGGCCGAAGGAAAGGAATACAAGGCCTGAATCCAAGAGAGAATAGAATCCCCGAAACCCCAACGAGACAGCACAAACCGCAGATATTCCCAGGATAGAGAATCAAAAGCTTTATATATGTCCAAGGACAGTAGGAATCCTGGGATTTTCCGTTGTTGCAGAAAATGTATAAGATGGACCACCTTACGGACGTTATCCCCCGCCTGCCTCCCAGGGACGAACCCTACTTGGTCCCTGACGATTGCATTTTTAATGCATTTTCTTATGTATGCCTGCATATGTGGGTGTGAGGAGGCTCACTTTTTTTTTTTTTTTTTTTTTTTACTTTTTTATTGCCATCACATACAGGCCCAATAATCCCCTATGTGATAGCATATAAGTGACAGGTCCTCTTTGTGGGGGTGGGGGGCAGAAGAGGGACAGGAGAAGAGCGGACCAGTGTATATATAGACAGGCTCCTTCACCTGTGCTGTCACTGCCCGTTTTAAACGTAATTGCTGGCTTTGTTTTTCTTTACAGTGCTGGGAAGGAGCAGTCATTCGCCTGTGCTAAAAGTAAACAAAGGGGCGGAGTCATCCAGTGACATCCCCAGTGACCCCGCCCCTTTGTTTAGTTCAGTGGTGGCCAAGTGACAGCTTATAAAGTAAAGATAAAAAAAAAGTCTGAAATTATATTTAAAACTGCCAATGACAGTGCAAGTGAGGAACCTGTCTGTATACACTGCTCCCTCACTGCATACACCGTTCCGCTGCTCTCCGTCAAGGGATGGATGAAAAACAAATGCAAGTGTTAAAGGGGCTTAAGAATGACACCAGGAAAGAAAGGGGAAATTAAAAACGTGCCACCAAAACAGGAATATGGGGAAATCTTCTAATAGGAACTCTTGTTCCAGTAACAACTGGGGGAATTCCTTCACATTGGAAAGACATCATTTCACTTCTTTTTGTGTCTACGGGACACAGATGGCAATAAGAGAAAATGGACTCTGGTTTTAACCCAAAGAACCTTGCTGAATGACTGCAAAGTGAACAAATCCTCAAGAGCCTTTCAGAATCTGGGTAAACTTAGGAAAGTTTTTCCCCCCAGTAACATACTTAGGCTGGCCATACATAATTTTTTTTTCCCATTCAATCAATGTGTTGAACAAAAAATACAAAAACTGACCTGATTCCTCCATACACACATTCAATGAAAGGAATGACTCCTGTTGAGCTACAGTGTTCTATTCTGCTGGTGAGAAGCCTGCCCCACCGGCAGAATACAATGATCAGTGTTACCTATATATAGTAAAAAATATATGGATTATGAGATTTGCAAATCTTTGCATTCTGTTTTTATGTAGATTTTACACAGTGTTCCAACCTTTATGGAATTGGGTTGTAGTTTGTAAATATATATACAGACTAGACTGTCAAAAATATTGGGCGCCTGCCTTTACATGCACAAGAACTTTAATGGCATCCCAGTCTTAGTCCATAGCAGCGGTTCTCAACCTGGGGGTCGCGACCCCTTTGGGGGTCGAACGACCATTTCCCAGGGGTCGCCTAAGACCATCGGAAAACACATATTTCCGATGGTCTTAGGAACCGAGACACCGCTGCTGTCTCCGGCAATGTGTGGGCGAGATGATATGCTGCCCCTGTCACCGCCTCCTCGCCGCTGATTGGCCACCGGAACTGTAGCTCAGGAGAGGCACACAGGCGGCCAATCACCGGCGAGAAGGTGGAGCTTGAGAGAGGAGGAGCCGAGCGGCAGCGCGCGCGGAGATCGAAGAAGATCGAGGGAGCTGCAGGAACGAGTGAAGAGAGAGGCCAGAGAAGGAAGACAGCTGACAGGTAAGTGCAAATTTTGCTGCTGCAGCCAGGTATGCAGGCTGTAGATGGGAGAGGGAGAGAGCGAGCCCAGGCTGGAGCAGGAGTCAGCAAATTAAGTATCATTGGTGTCAGTGGAAGGGATAGTGCCCCATCATTTGTGTCACTAATACCAACGATGGGGCACTATTCCTCCCCCCACTGACACCAACGATGGGGCACTATTCCTCCCCCCACTGACACCAACGATGGGGCACTATTCCTCCCCCCACTGACACCAACGAT